TTTGCGGAATTTTTCGGAGGTGAATGCGGGCGCTCTATCCGACAGTAGACGTTTTGGAGACCCTTGTTGTAGTACCTTTTTTAGGGTTTGGATGTACGTTAAGGTACTTGTAGATTTCGAGGGGAATGCCCAAGCGTACCTGGTCAAGTGATCCACTATAACATGGAGATACGTCTTGGAGTGTCCGTATTTCGAAAATCCGGCTATTGTATCTATTGATATTAAATCGAATGGCTGTTGTGGTGGGGGAATTTGTCCTAAGGTGCCATAAGGTTTACCTTTGGGTCTTTTGATGATTTGGCAGGTATGACAGGAATTTACAAATTTTTGTATGGAGTGGGCCATACCTTTCCAGTAATACTGAGTAGAGATTAGGCGAGTCATTTGGGAGATACCGGGATGGTTGTATTCGCTGTGAACCTGGTTCATAAGCGAGTGTTGAAGAGCTTCGGGTATTATTATTCGATTTACACCTTTACGCCGTATGGTGTGTAGACCGTTGACGTCTACAGCGACACTGGTATCTGTGATATTCGGTTGGTGTTTCTTAATAGTACGGGCACTGATAAATCCACAAAATGGATTGCGAGAAAGCAAATCGGCCTCGTGTTGCTGGGTTCCCTTGAGGTACTGTATTTCATAGTCGTAAGTGGATAGTCTTAAACTCCACCTAAAAAGTCGTCCTGACGGGTTTTTAATAGTTTTAAGCCATTGTAGGGCTTGGTGGTCGGAGTAGACAGTGAATTTGGTACCGGATAGATAGATGCGGAATTTTTCGATGCTTTCTACGATCGCTAAGCATTCTAACTCTGAAATGGTATAGTTGCGTTCGTGAGGACGTAGTGCTCTACTGTAATACTGTGTGGGATGAGTTTTTCCATCCGGATGTACTTGTTTGAGAATTCCTGCGATTCCCTGGGTGGAGGCGTCACAGTACAAGCGGCAGGGTAAGCCATCCTGATACAGATGTAATACGGGCTTACGTGTTAAGCTCTCCTTGAGAGCCGTGAATGCCTGTTGACATTTGTCGTCCCATTGCCATTTAGTGTCCTTTTTAAGTAAATTGTTGAGTGGGGTTCTGAGACGGGCATAATTTGGTATAAACTTGTTATATACGTTGACGGCTCCTAAAAAGGACTGTAATGTTTTTTGGTTGAAGGGAGGTTTGATAGCGTTAATAATATCGAGGTTACGGGTCTGCGGTGTGTAAGTTCCGTTCTTAACAGTGTATCCTAGAAATTCTATTGATGTCTTCAAAAATTCACATTTTTTATAGTTTAGTTTAATATTTTCCTGTTGGCAGATCTCCAGGAAATTTTCTACGTGTTGAATATGTTCTTCTAAGGTATCCGAAAAGATAATAAAATCATCGAAATAGTGGGCTATGAAGTTTAACTTATATTTTTGGAATATTTGGTTTATTGCACGTTCAAAAATCTGTGGTGAGTTGCGCATCCCAAAAGGAAGCCTACAAAATTCGTATTGCCCGTCTAATGTCACGAAAGCTAAAAGGTGACGGGAACTGGGATCTATTTCGACCTGCCAGTAGGCAGAAGATATGTCGGCTGAGGAGAAGTATTTGGCGCGTGAGAGTTTGTCGAGTATATTCTCTATCAAGGGGAGAGGATGGACGTCTGGTGCAATGATTTCATTAATCCTACGATAGTCAACACAAAAGCGTTTTGATTTGTCACGTTTGGTGACAAGCGTAATAGGACTGGCATAGGGAGATACTGAGGTTGTAATTATACCGTGTTCAAGCATGTGTTCGATTTGTGTTTGTATTTCAAGTTGGTCATTTAGGGGTACGCGATAAGGACGTAAGGCAATTACCTTGTCCGAAGTAGTATTGATTTTTACGGGAGGTATTTTAAGCTTAGGGACGTCGTATTTATTGGTGGCGAAAACGGGTGTAAATTGATGCAGTACCTTGTGTAAATTATAGGGACAGTGACCTAGGTCACTTGTGTCCAAAGATATGCAAGAGGAGGACATAGAGGCGTTGAAAATAGGATCAGGAACATTACATTGAGGCCAAATAAGAGTGTTGGAGTTCACCACGTGTGAGCAACCCGTTCCAGGAGGGGAAGATTTAGTAAATGGGACAGTTGTATTAACCTGTCCATGGGACACGTGTTGCTTGCACGAGGTGAATTTGTATAAGGTAGTTGGTAGAGGTACATTATCTTGATACAGGAGTAGCTGAGGACAGTTTATAATTAGTAGAAATCTTTTTATGGAGTTAAGGGATAATATGCCAAAAGGCAAGAGGGCATCTATAATATGGAATTTTAGGTTCTGCGTTATGTTACCTATTTTTACGTTTAAAAAGATATAACCTATGGTGAAAATATTGTTAGCTATGGCATTAATAGTTAAGTTAAATGGGTGAACAGGTATTTTCTTTTGCAAATTGGTTTCTATTATTTTAAAAGTATTCCGACTAATTATATCGATAGATGCTCCTGTATCAAGTAGTAGAGGAAGGTTTACATTATTGGGCAGTTCAGCTCGAACGAGCAATTGTTCAACGAAAGTTATGTGAGGAGGAACCTACTGTTGTGCTGTCTTGGGCGTCGGAACAGGCCTGTTTTGGTGCCGTGGTCGAGGTACCTATGGGACAGCTAGGGTTCACTGCTTGCGCTGGGCTCGTGGTGTAGAGAGGATCAGGGGAGCGGGGTAACATGCGCTCGCGTGTTGTTAACTTGGAAGGGTGCGGGAGAGGACAACACAGTTCTGTCGTGCTGCGGATAAGTTGTGGCTCGGTACACAGGTCTTGGACGGCTCTGTGCAGGCCGTTTGGGGCACTGGGCGTGCCAGTGCATGGCGCCACAATACCTGCAGGATGAAGGGGGTGGATTGGCAGAGTAGTTGGGTCGCGTTGACCATGGTCGCGGAGCACTGTACCTCGGTGACGGTGCGAAGGAAGGGTTGGGCGTTGTTCTGGTCGTCTGTTGGCACATTTGCGACGCACTGTGGGTTCCTCTTACGCGCGACACTACACTATACCACGCTTGGAGGGTGTTCGGTTGCACGGCAGCGACAATGCGCTGATCAGCGACGGGTAACCCATCAGTCAGGGATTCTAAAAGGATTTTGTGGGGAAGGTTCAGCTGTAGGCCACACACCGTCTTTTTTTTGATAATATTCCTCTAACGAGGAGCGATCTGTCAACTTAATGGCCAAGAATTGGGCAAATGACGCGTTTGTGGTTTCAGGAAAGAGGTCTATCAAGGCCTGCCTTGCGTCAACGTAATATAATTTGTCTAATTTTAGGCTGCGGAAGTAGTGCAGGGCCTTACCTTGTAGGAGGTTGGGAAGCCTTCTCAGTCTGTCGGTGTAGTGTAGTTGGGCCAGATCAGCTTGGGCGTCGTAGTTGTCGAAGAAGCTCTGCGCCTCGTACGAACCATCGTAACGCGATAGCTCCACATCTCGCGAGAGTCCTGTCGCCGAGGAGAGCTGATATATCGTCCTGGCTAAACTCCCCAGGACATCTGACACCGGCGGCGGGGGTGTGACGTCTTCCTGGCCGGGGGCGATTTCCTCCGTTCTACCGAGAGTGTTTTCGTTTTCTTTCTTTGGAAAAGTGGTGCTTCCGCCACTTTCGGAGTCGGGATCGGACTCCATTGGTTCCTTGGGATTCTCCTCTCTTCCCTGTTCCATCTTTCTGTACAGACAGTGGTCTATTTGCTTACTTGTACCTTGGCGTCCACTATCCTGTCGACTCTTCGTTACGGGGGAGTCTGTGATATCTTGGGACCTCTGGGACCAGTGTTACCTGATGCTAGACGAACCTCGATGTCAACTCTACCGTGCAGTCGTGGTGGAAGGCGACACAGCTGGGCCAAAGGTGAAATAAACAAACAGAGATTCCACTAAAAGCGTCTGACGTCAAGAAGGAATGGGATGAGGAGAGAGAGAGATCTTAAGAGCAAGTGTTACCGTTGGAATCCAAGCGTTGACTGACAATTCTAGGGCCTCGATTTAACACCACGACCTTGCTGCTTTCTAATTGGCTGACCTATTTAGGTGATTCTTTCCTAATTGGTGGGACTTTTTCACGTGGTAGTGGGCTATTGGTTGACCTACTTAGGTATTGTCTTCTGATTGGACCTGGCTTATCTCTTTGACGGAAGAATACGTCCGGTCTTGTTCCGGAAATTGGGCGTCTCTCAAACTTTTATAACTTCTGGTCACAAGATACGTCCTGTCTTGTCCGGAAATATTGGTTTAAACTTAGCTCGCAGGGTGTCCGGGGTCAGAAGGTTAACTGTGGCGTTATTAATAATTATGTTCTCTTCTAGGCCTACCTCTTAGGTTTGACTTCTACGATCCTCTAAGCCTGATTTGTTTTAACCTTAACTTTCTCCTGTCTCTCTCCATTCCTTCTATCTGTGCAGTTGCAATACTTTATTAGATCCTTACGCGGTACAGATTGATGTTAGTTGAGGTTTTCTATGTGCAGTACATAAGAAGTTATATACAGTCATGGGGTGGAACATGTGGTAGTGGATATCTAGACTATTTACAACAATTCCATGGTCTTAAATCATCACATATATATTCCTTTCTACCATTTGTACCATAGTTCTTATAAGTCGCGCTTCATTTCTCGCCTGTTGAAGGGTTTTTTACCCGAAAGCTTGCACTTATGCATCAATAAAAGAAACTCGTCTTCCTTCACCATGTTTTTTCGTTTAATTTCAAATCAGGAAGAATTTTTTATCTATAAGCATTAGTAATATTTTTGAATAGAGATGTGGAATGCAATATATAAATTTTGGAAAATATATCGCTACATATATTTTAGGATCTTCGAAAAAGCTGCTACAAACTAAGTATCCTAAATCTGGACCACACTCTTAGAGCTATGTACACAAGACGCCAACTGTCCGCGGGTGTGTTTGACAATTTTGACAATTAAAACAAATGTATTGACACCTCAGTTAATATCTAAAAAATCAAGAAGATCGCAAAAATAATTAGAATAAATAATAAGATGGCGAAACGCGGGTTCGAACCAGGACTTTTAGATCCTCGGTTTAAAGCTTTCGTAGCTGAGCTATTCCGCCGTATATTATAATAATCAAAAAAATAGTTAATAATTTACAATCTCGTATTTTCGGCCGGTACGTCTTCCCCACCGTACAAGCGTCTTCTTCCAGGCGATGAGGGGGTCCTCAATTCCATCACCCAGCCCTACCTGCACGAAGTACCGATAAATTCGGGACCAGGAATCCAGTTTTCATCAAAAGAGAATAGAATATATTTATGATGATGTTTAAAACAGATTAATACATAATACTGATCAATAAATTATAGAAAAATAAACGAAAAATGAAAATGAGTTATAATTATATGTATAAAATCATAGGACCTCTCTCCCGTCATATGTAATTAGGAATAGTGTTGATATAGAAACGTCAATGAGGTTAAAATTAGGGAATTTTGTGTTTGTATGGTATCGCTATGAGGATAAGCTCTTCGGATGAGATAGCTAGAACTGTAATCTCTCTTTGTGTTGAAAGTCACTATCGTTACTGTGGCGGACAATTATATAAATAATTGATCTTTAAATTGGTCAATTTGTTCAATTTTTATCTATTATTTATCGGAGAGATATTGTAGAAATGTGAATTAGCGAATGTGTCTGCTTTAAAAGACAAAGATTATCATGATTAAATAAAGATTAATTCCATTAAGTTTATAATTTTTCAGTTGCGCGCCTTTTTTCATCCATTCCTCGCTTACAAATTCGTAATCCTATTCATCTTCTTACTTTTCTAAAAGTAGCTTTGTGCAAAAGGAGAAGTTTATGAACCTAAACAAATACAGGTGAAGTGAAAATTGGAAATAAGAGAGAGTCAGCCAACATTTTCCACAAGGAACACTGTGGATATTGAGATTCAACCAACATTTCCACAAGAATAACTGGGGATAGGAGAGGTTCAACCAACATTTCCACAAGGATAACTGGGGGTAGGAGAGATTCAACCACCATTTCCACAAGGATACCTGGGGATAGGAGAGACTCAACCAACATTTCCCCAAGGAACACTGGGGATAGGAGAGATTCAACCAACATTTCCACAAGGATAACTGGGAATAGGAGAGATTCAACTACCATTTCCACAAGGAGAACTGGGGATAGGAGAGATTCAACCACCATTTCCACAAGGATAACTGGGGATAGGAGAGATTCAACCACCTTTTTCACGAGGATACTGGGGATAGGAGAGATTCAACCAACATTTCCCCAAGGAACACTGGGGATAGGAGAGATTCAATCAACATTTCCACAAGGATAACTGGGGATAGAAACGATTCAATCAACATTTCCCCAAGGAACACTGGGGATAGGAGAGATTCAACCAACATTTCCCCAAGGAACACTGGGGATAGGAGAGATTCAACCAACATTTCCACAAGGATAACTGGGGATAGGAGAGAATCAACTAACTATTCCACAAGGATAACTGGGGATAGGAGAGAATCAACTAACTATTCCACAAGGATAACTGGGGATAGGAGAGAATCAACCAACATTTTCACGAGGATAACTGGGGATAGGAGAGGATCAACCAACATTTTCACGAGGATAACTGGGGATAGGAGAGATTCAACCAACATTTCCACAAGTAACACTGTGGATATAGAGATTCAACCAACAATTCCACAAGTAACACTGTGGATATAGAGATTCAACCAACAATTCCACAAGGGACACTGGAGATAAAATCACCGACATAATCACAAATAAGACTCAACAATCGAGGCAAGAGATCTAAATTAATTTCCTTCCCCGGACCAATATTATGCAAATCGGAGCGGTGACACATTACTCTGGAGACAATCAACTCCAGACCCGATTATGGCGAAACTACTCACGGCACTAATCTTCCCTTCATATATATATGCAGGTATATTGCGGGATTAGAACATCAGACTGTCATACGAGCGACGAAGACATTAGAGAATGCTAAATATGTTTGTAAATTTAAAGTATATTTTTAAAACACAAAAATAAATATGGTGCTAAAAACATTTTTCTTATCCCTAGTATACGTGGTACAGGCCATGATAATCATGATGGGTAGAAGTAGGCGATTGCTTTACTGTGCTAAAAACTGGTAAGTTATAGTAAATATGAAGGTATAAGCTAAAAGGTCCATCGGTATATATATTAATATAGATCGCCATAAATTTTTATTAAAAAATGTGTGTTCGGCATATATACCACATGGTTCAATCTATCTGAATGCCACTACAATAAGATATCGGTTTGGAAGGAGTCGCTGCCATATTTCTGAACTCATCAGTGGTGAACCCTCCCAGCGGTTTCGCCAGTTTAATCTAACATACCTCTGTTATCTATATTTTTAAAAAGTCTTCTTTATTCCTCTTTATCGGCCCGTGGTATATCACAAGGAATCGTGGGGAGGGTCCATCTCTTCTTGTAATATTCCTTTCTCTCTTTAATATTTGAATTAATGTAGGTTTCTTTGTCTGTCTTTGTCCCAAAGTCCTGGAATTTTGTGGATATAGTAGTTGTTTTTGACGAATTTATTTTGAGCCCTATTTTATCTAGAAGAGGAGTAAACTTCTTCGCTATTATCTCAAGATCTTGATAGTTTTGGGCAAATATATTACTATCATTTATTAACAATAGGTGGTTGACTTTAAATGCCTCTTCTCCGATCTTATCTATTATGATGCATTAGCGCGCCATCTGTTATGAAAATTAGAAACTATTATAGACGCGTAAGATTCTTTTTGAAATTAAACAATTTCTACTGCCCTTACTGCAATGGAAAAATTAATGGGAGGGCCTGGCTCATCAGTTGTGAACCCTCCCAGCGGTTTCGCCAGTTTAATCTAACATACCGCTGTTATCTATATTGAAAAAAGTATTCTTTATTCCTCTTTATCGGCCCGTGGTATATCACAAGGAATCGTGGGGAGGGTCCATCTCTTCTTGTAAGATTCCTTTCTCTCTTTACTGTCTTGAGGCAACTCTGTGTTTGTCCGTTATCCAAGAAAACTTTTATAATGACTGTATTTTTTTTGTGCTCAGTAGGTAATCGGTAGAGGGGGGAGAAGTCCGACCACACTTCCCTGCGTTCCCCCCTGGACCCTTGGAATATTTGACCAAATTCTGGTCCAAGGTGACTAACGTGGCAACGGCATCCTTTTTCCAATGAAGAGAAAAACCGGCAATGGCCGCAGCCTTTCAAAAAATTGACATGGACCCAGAGCATCAGCTTTACACACCCAAGATAGAGGACATTGCGACTGCTGTGATAGAGATGTATGGAGACATCTGAGGCTCTTCGTTGGACACGATAACAACAACAGGTAATCGATAGATGCAACACCTACTGCATTTGTAATGATTTGTTTCACTTTTATATTTTGTTATCAGCATTTTCGGGATCAATATGTATTTAAGTACGTTAATTTGATCAAATTTTCATATCTATGGGGTTAAAACTAGTATAACGACTCGTCCCATACCTTAATCTATTTCCTGGCAAATTTTCAACCAGATTTATAAAATAAAAGGTATTCCTATAAGAATCAACAAACAAGCACATTTTAATAAGATAATCCCTTGTTTCAATAGTAAGGTGAAATTATAAGGCTTCCAGGGAAAAGTTTATTTTTAATCTCTAGATTTCGGGCACTAAAGCCCTTCTACAGGAGTATCGTGCTTTCTCCTGTAGAACGGCTTTCGTGCCCGGAAACTAGAGATTTAAATATTTTGAAAAAATAAACATCTTCCTGGAATCCTTATGACTCCACCTCAAACTAGAACATGTTCTCACACATTTCGATTCTATGTTAATATATATAACTGATTAACCAAGCAAACATCTGGCATCGGTGCACTTGATACCTACTGACACGGCAAGTCAACACACTATTGGAACACTCAAGCACATCCTCACAAAGATACACATAGGACGTCAACCTGCGGCTCGCGAACCACATGCGGTTCTTTGGATGTGAAGCTGCGTGTAGTACACGCATAAATAAAAACTTTATTTATGTGGGTACTATTTAATGTTGGCAAGAAAAAATTGTGGCTCTTTACAAAACTTTGAAATTGTGTAAATTGTAATTTTTGACTCTTTCGACTCAAAATTTTGCCGAACCCTTACCTAGGAGCATCTACACCGACCTATTATCAGGACATTGCTAGATCCGTGCCGACCCCCCTGGACGGAATCAAACGAGTTGCATCGTCCTATTAGCAAGAGGAAGAGTAAACCGTGAATCATGTCATACATAATTGTCGAGCATTCCCACTAAAGCGATTCCAGACACTCCTTGGAATGCCCTCTTCGAACAGCCCTTTTCTGTCAAAACTGCCAAGACATAAACTGTACTTGAAACACTTAGTGACTCTAGGACAAGCAAGACCGATCCCTAAACCACAGGACAGCCTGGACAGTTACCGATATATATAGATATACATTGTAATATTTTGATCCAAAATAAGCGTTATTCCTTCAAAATATATCTTATTTTAATATGTTTCCGTCTCTCATACTATTTTAGTACATATTTCCAAAACAAACAAATGATAAACGTTAAATATTTTTACTAAAAATAATACCCACGTTTATTATTTAACTCATCTACAACATGTATTGGCATCGTGCTTACAAACTCCTACAAAATTTCAGTTAAATCGATACAGAACAAATGATTTAAATTAGAGTTACAAGACTTTCATACAAAGACAGCGTGGGGTTGAATAAAAGATAAATTGTTATTATGGGCGGTATTGATGTCACACCGCGATAATTGGAATGATAATTGAATTTGAAAAGATCCTTCAGAAAATCAATCGTTAAAGCGAAGAAGAATTAAATCGTAAATTATATCGTTTTAGTATATTAATTGATACGGGTGAAAGTTACCAATAAATCGTAATTCAACTGATTTTAAGTAGTAATATCATTTTATTCGCGATCGAACGTTGTGGCCCATTGTACATATTACATCCCAAACACGATGCGACGCCAGCCATCTCTGTCTTGAGCTCAATGTACCATCTCGGCGACCG